CAAGTCACTCATTTTCACTAAAACCCCTTTGGGATGCAGGGCAATGATTAAACTTACTTGAAAGTCTTGTGCTTTTGCACGTTTTGCTTCCACACTCCTATCTTTCAAATTGCTAGAAATGGATGCTATTTACTGATTATTTTGCTTGCAATTGATTTGCATACTGCTATTGCATATTGTTAAATGGTTTGTTGATTAATGACTAATGTTGATTTGGACTAAATGTAATGGAATAAGCAAATACATTTTCAAATTTAGATATACAATTTAGTTGCTAAATGATGTTGTTAGTCAGACTTTAAAATGTTGATTATTTTAGATAAATCCCTTGCAGAGGAACCCTGGCCACAATTTCTTCCTATATTTTATCTCAATATTTTAAGCTTTATCGCTTATTTTCTTCTTATTAATTTGTATGTCTGAGTTTTAAAGCTGACATTTCTTATAAGCAAGTACTGCTCCAAAGCCCAGGACTAAGATAAATTCTTTTAAATTCAGAATGTGGTAGATTTCAACTAAACAATTTCTTTTCCGCAGATCCATAAGACAAATATTTGGCTTGAATATTAATATTTTCATAACCCTGACTGGATTAATATATTGCACAAATATCATCAACAAATTATATAAATATCAAATACTTATTAATATAATGAATAATTTTGGAATTATATAAGATTGTTATATTAATACAGGATTATTGAATGGTAGAATTTCTGAGCTGTTAGGAAACACTTGCTGATGTGGCCTCTGGGATCCAGTGAGGTTTTTTTAATTCACACACACACACACACACACACACACACACACGCTAGTCAGTTAAGTCAGTTATATGAACTATATAATGTATTATGCACTTGAATATATATATATATATATGCTCATGTGTTAGAATATTTAGTATTTTTAATTACTCCAAATCTTAAAAAATCCTATATTCCAACCTATATTTTTTATTTCTACATTTATCTTCCAAATATATGTATTACCTTTGATTATTTTTTATTTCTGCTATTTCATATACATTCATAAATATTTCCAGTTTGTAAATCCATTTAAATGGTAGAACAAACCAAAAAGTTTGTACCATAGATGTTTTAGTATATTTATAGTCTTATATTTTTTTAGACCTACATTTCAATATGCTGTGATAAAAATGTGTATTTCTCTAACAAGGTATTAAGTTTGGTGACTGAAAAGTGTTCTTCAAAGGAATGTAATTCACATTAATTTTCCATGTGATCATTGTTACTTATAGTTGAGAGACAGATCCAAGTCTGTATCTACATAGCTACCTTGGTGACCTTTGGTAAATTTCATTTTTGTTCTTTGATTTTATTTTCTTTGAAAATGAGAAGTTGAAAGTTTTAAAGCTTTTTTCCCATAACTCTGAAAGAGTTTAGGAGCTCAAAAGAAAATATGACTAAAAGAAATGTGTGGGCATCATTACCTGGCTGCCCAGTATTTTCATGGCCACACTCTGTAACATACTCTGGAAGCTTCTTTAAGAAAATAACTTTGTAGATATGGACATCAAGGGAAAAGGGATCAATCAGAAAAAGAAGGGAAAATGAGTTAGTGACAAAGGAGGAATGGTAGGCAGTAGAAATGATTCCTCACTTACTTGTTTGTTTATCTAGAGTCTAGTTATTCCTATTTGAAAACCTACTGGCACCAGGTATTATCAACAGGGATGAGTAATATGTAATTTTTATCTTTACTGGGTTACATTTGGCACATGGACAGTTGACAGCTGTCAGTCAGGTGGCTGGTCAATGAGGAGATACATGTAAAGCTGCCAAAATATTTTCGTTGCTTTAAATACAAGTAAACCATTTTAGCTGGAAACTTTGTTGTACTGAAATTAAATAGGCTAATATTCACAATATAATTAATTGACATTAATTATTGGAAGAATCAAGATTTTTTTCTATTAACATATAGGGTTAAACAAAATGTTTTTCTAAGTGTCTTTTTGAAACAGGAAAACAATTTTCTCCACTGTAAATAAACTATCTTTAAGACAGGAGGATATCTTGCAAATAATGCTTGAAATGCATATGTTTTAACGTTAAAAATTTAGAGCAGGTGTAAATCAATGCTACTTTAAACTCCAATATTTTATTAAAATAAACCATTCCCATACATTGAGGGAGCTGGCATAGGTATTTTTGTGACACAATGTTGAAAATTTATTAGAAAAGACAAACATAGCTGCATGGTGAACAAGAATTTACAGCTTCTTTTCATAATGAAAAAAATAATAGGATTTTAGAGTAAGTCTACAATTCAGGCATAGTTAAAATGATACATTTTAGTTATTTTGAAATATTTGAGCTATATCTAACATTATTTCCAATAGGTTCATTTACACTTAAATAATTGATAGAGTCATAAACAATAGTTTGGCAGAAGCTTTTGGCTTGCTTACACTTAATGTTAGTGACAATGTAATAATTATAGCCAACAGTAATGCACATGAAAAGTTAACAAATATAATTCTGAAGTCAACATAAGAGCACATGTTCAGTTTTGCAGTAACTATGATCTTTAAAAGTCAATGATGTGATTGTTCAGGAATATAGTATTTAACAGACTAGAAAAAGAAAAGTAAAATTTTCAAGTGCATGAAATATATACTAATTTTTTCAGAGACAAATGAAGTTATTCTAAAAATTTAGCAACTATAATTACTCAAGTGGCTGAATCAATACAATGAAACATGACAAAATATCATACAAAAGTGGCAGCTTGAAACAGCAATAAATACACATATATATTTAAATGTTTTAATCATTTGAAATACATTCTGCTTGTAACCATTTATAATAAAAAGTATATTTGGGTTTTAATTTTTTAGAATATGGGTGCATTAAAATGTTTGTGGATAAGATTATGTTTTAAAAATATTAGATACTTTGTTTGGGTGGACCATTTCTGATAATTTTTTAAACCACAAATATTTTCTGATTTTCAACAGTAATTACGACAGTTTAAAAGAGTAATGATAGCTATACATTTGTGGCATATTTATGTTGTTATTGATTTGAAAATTATTTCAGGTGCAGTGGTCATTAAAAAAGTCAGATCTCATCTTTTTTCCACTATACAGCTATGTATTAAGGATGTAGATTAGAAGTTATTTATGGGATCATCATAGTAAAACAATTGCCTCATAGTAATTTATATTGGTAGGAGTCTTTTCTTTCTTAAGCACCAATTCTACCCCCCACAGCCAAGAAAATTGATTTTATGCATAATAACTTATAGCATTCTTGATCAATGTATACTGTTGTGTCTTTTAAATTCATTAGCCTTTGTTGCTTGTGAATATGGAATTTGGTTATTAAAATGGTTTCATATGTTTACTATGTATAGGCTCTAGCTTTGAGCTGCTTACTTGCTTAAATAAATGTTTTCAATTTACTATAATATAAAAATTTGTAGAGAAATGCTGTGAAGCATAGTTAAAAGAATGAGTCCCTGAAATAGAATCACTTTTTAAAAATATGTCCTAACATGTGGTCTCATTTTTTCATATTTTGCATTAATTAAAATCCTATTCTGAAAAAAATATTTTTGCCTAAACTTTTGAATTCACAAAATAAAAATAAAAAATACATAAATGTACTAATTTTGGAAATCAATGACGTAAAAACATGCTTTAGGACTGTCTTGGTTGTTTATTTCAAATATTTTTCTCGAAAGAAACTCTTTGTAAAGTAATGAGAAAATATTGCCACTTTTAATTATTAAATAATATTTACTATAATACGATATACTATTATTTAATTATTAAACATAAAATATGTTTTAAATTTTTAAATTATACATGCAATATGTATTTTTAAAATGTGTTAAAATAAAGTTAATTGCATATTCTCTCTAATAATGTTCTTGTAACATGCACACATTTAAAAAATGCAGCACATGTAATTTTTGAAAAGAGCGTGTACCATTGCACCTTCTTATTTGGGAGATTTATTAGAAAATAACTTTTTATTCAGAAAAGATGATGACATAATTAGATAAAAAAGAGACTAAAATGTTATGTGTGAAACAGTCTAATATTACATACGTAATTAACTTTTCATCTTCCAAATATTGAAAACAATAATGAAAGAGACCAATATTAAAAATAATCTTTTTTTTAAAAACCTAAAAAAAAGTCTAAAAATTTGTACATGGTAACAGCTTTACTTTCACACCAGGCAAACCCACTGTTGAGCGAGTTGGCTCTGATTCCAATGGTCTCATCAACTTTGTGAACACAGGTACCTCAGTGGTGCCTGTTTCAAGACAACAAAATTAACTTTTAGAGATTAAAAAATACATTTTGGCAATTGAAACTCACCAGTGCCTTTCTGCTTCTCCAGGAAGTTGTACCCGTCAGCACCTGCTGAGGGCTTTGTTGTCCAAACTCTGACAGGTAAAAAAATTCCTGTAGAATAAAGCCAGACCAGCTGGCTTTGAAGAGAAACCCCCCAGTTTGGGCTGCGTTTGCCTCCTCTCCTTTTCTATGAAGACCGAGGCTTTGCCCCCTTGATCGTCGAGCCGTGAGATGCGTGATCCCTCTGCACAAGTGTCTGGCAGGCCGAGGTGCACCTGTTTCTGTCACTCTGGAGTAAATTTAGCTGTAAAGGTATCACTGACAACCAGACCTTTGTCAGTGCTGGCAAAAGAACACAGAACTGCTTCCCTCCCCTCCCCCTCTCCCGACCCCCTATGCTGCTAGTTCCAATGGAAAATATCCAATAGGAAGTCTATCCAAAAATCATTCCTAAAAAATGAAATTGCTTTCATATGGTATAAAAAAGTAAGTTTCCTCATTTCAAGCAGATTTTAAAATTACATTTCCAAGAATAATCTTGGAACAAGACAAGTTTTCGTTCAATTAATTGTGGCTGGAAACTTTTTAATGGAAACATAGCACATACTTACTTCATTTCAGGTTATTAAATTGTGTTAAGCATTAGAGTTATTTGCCATTCTTTGCTGCAGCTCATTTGTTCTTTTCGATCCTAAGAAATATTAGAAGGTTAAATAACTTATCACATACGAGGGATTAATCATACTGCCAAAATTAGAATGTGTGTAGTTCTGAGGGACTGAATGTCAAAATTGTATGCTCATTGCACTAAAACTATTGGGGATCTAGGAAATCACAAGAGCGTTTAAAATGGCAGCTAAGGTCTGTGGAAACCCTTCATGTTTAGAAACTGGCTAAAGCTTGATATCTCTTCTCTTTTGGTTAAGGTAAGGAAATTTATCATTTATGTGAATGTTTTAGTCGAATTTATTTATTAGTGGTTTGAGAAATATTCCTTTTGAGGAAGATAGAGAGGCAGGCAATATTCATTAATATGCTTGACATAAATAAAATAGTCAAGATATATAAAGAAGCTCTTGGAATGCTTAGTCAAAGCATTCCAAGCTTCTGCCTTAATAATTATGATTTCTTAAGTGGAGTTAAAAAGAGTTGTACAGAGTACCTGTTCTATCATATTATTGCTGTTTACAGGAGTTGGGTGTGATGAGAAAGGAAAGCTTGCTCAAAATAAAAAAATGCTTTGTCAAATAAACAAAGTTCCTATTTACTTACTATGTATAAACAGCCACTCACCAAGCCTCGTTTCTCCACAGGGCACCACTCTCAGATAAAAACATAGACCTGAATGGCATCATCCAGTATCCAAGGAAACCATGTAAGTACCTCTCTCACTGTGTACTTCTGTTCAGAGTTTAAAAGCTAGCTGAGTACTGAATAAGTGAGTGTTTGTATTTAATAATTATAAGGGAGGTACTTTTTAGGAGCTTGCTAAAAAGAAACAGGTTCTTGATTGTTATGTGTGCCATAACAAAACTCTCACATTTTCGTCATATTTCATAAAATTATGTGTTTAGTCCCAATCTCTCCAATAGTTCTTATTCTTAGGTACAAAACCGCTACTCAAAGTCCTAATGAATTGAGAGTTTCAAACCTTTCCAAGACCCAAACGATGTTTCAGAGCCCTTGTGCCGGGAGAGGTTTCTTAATTGTAGTTAAGCTTGTTAAATTTTAAAAATTAAGAAAAAATTTCTTGGAAAATAATGGTTTATCGGTAAACATTTATGGCAATTTATTTGGCTGTAGGCTTGCTTGAAGAGTGAGTAAGTGAGCAAAGAGACAAGATTACATGTTTAAACCAAGAAAAGAATCCTGAAAGTAAGTGTAATTACCAAGATGCAAAAATCTGTTTGGGGAAAGGGTTGGGAGGTTGGCACATTATTTTCTTTCTCCCCTCCCCCCAAACTAATGTGCATTTCTGCAGCTAATATCAAAGTTTTAATTCATTTTCAGGAGCTATGAAATCTACTGTGGAAATTTAGTTTCTAAACAACATGCTACTCTGGAGAAAATCATTCCTAAAATATTTGAAATTTCTACTATTTCCTTAGATGGACTTCATTGTTTTTTCATATTTGTACTATCTACTTTTAAAATTAAATTATTTTCAATATGAAATGATTATTCATTATTGTTTGCATACTTTTTTCACGAAAATACTTAACATCTTCTATATACTCATGTAATTATAGACCTCATTTTTTGCCTTCTATATTCACTATATGATTTACTTAATATTTCAATACAGACATATTACCTTTCATCGAGGGTGGTTTGAGAGTTTTTCATATGTATTTTGTTTGCTTTTGTCACTTGTGTGTATTTCTACTTTTTCTCTACAGCATGGCTCCTTGCTAAGCATAAATGGTAGAGATTATCTCACAGTTTCTCTGAAGAATTAGAGAGGCCTTTCATGTTCAATATCTAACTGCAGGAGCATTTCACTTTATCACATAATTATGTCAAATTCTATTGTTTATGCATTCACGTATTTCTGTCTTTTAATATATGTCACAACATGCATCTTTCTGAATTGAGAAAAGTTGTGTCAGACTAAGGAATTTCCTGGAAGTTTGGAAAGGCCCAGGGGCCTCCTCACCTATTAGGAAGGTCTGGCTAGGAATTTAATTTTTTATGTAACTTACAAACTTCACAGGTGTGGAGTTTGAGGCCCGAAGTACTACCTTCTAAAGTAGGAAATCCTTGCTGCATAATAAAGGTGGGTTTTGCTGAGTAAAGTTGGCAGCAGAGAGGGGTTAGAATACATCTTTACAAAGAAAGAAAATGCTAAATGAAGGAAAAGACCAGGTAATGTTGTAATTCACTATCTTGAGAAAATGGAATCTTTTCAAATTTGTTGTCCTTGTAATATGGGGAAAATGAAAATCTACAGTACAGTGCTCATGGTACAATTTTAACGGTTTACATTAGAATATAGATTTTTCCAGAAAAAAAAACATTTAAATTTGACATATTTAATGAAACTTCCTATAACAGAAGGCAAACTGCTATAAAAATATATTTTATGTTTATATTTGAGATTTTCCATTCATCAGTATTAGCCTTTCTAATGTAGACAGACTTTGTTTACTAGAACTTTCTGTGATAATGGACATGTTCCATATCTGTACTGCCCAACGTGGCGCTCACTAGCCTTATATGGCTGTTGAGTACTTGACACGTGGCTAGTGCAACAGAGAAACTTAATTTAAAATTGTATTTACATTTAATTAATTTAAATATAAATAGCTCACACATAGCTAGTGGCTACCTTATAAACAACCTAGTTCTCGTCTAGATCACTTAGAAATGTGGAGAGAGTCAAATATGTATAGATTTGATATCTCCATCAGTTATTTCTTATCTGTATATCAAGTACAATTGACCATAACTAAAATCATCAGTGCCTGAAAAACTGTGTTGCAACATTAATTTAGCAGGATTTTGAGAAATACTGTCATGTAATAGGCCAAATTGTAAAGAGTACTGTTTTGTTTTCATTAGAAATTAAATACCCTCCTGCAGAGATTTTCTATTCTTTTTTTTTTTTTTTGGTATTTTGTCAAATGATATAATTTTTTATGTTTACTTTAATATTTGAATTATTATTACAGTAGGATTTATGATATTTTCTCCTAAATGAATGCTTTTAATATGGTCAACAGGGAGACATTCCTTATAAAGCAATTATAAAATTGCTTTATAAGCTTGGGATAGCAACTTTTAAAATGGCCATTGTAAACAAGACTGTGTGAAAAAAAATAAATACGCTCATGCAAATTCTAACTATGGGGACAAATATTTTTAAAAGTTTAGTTACAATTGGCCAGGTACAGTGGCTCATGCCTGTAATCTCAGCACTTTGGGAGGCTGAAGCGGTTGGATCAGCTGAGGTCAGGAGTTCAAGACAAGCCTGCCCAACATGGTGAAATTCTGTCTCTACTAAAAATACAAAATTAGCCGGGCATGGTGGCAGACATCTGTAATCCCAGCTACTTGATAGGCTAAGCCAAAAGAATTGCTTGAACCCAAGAGGTGGAGGCTGCAGTGAGCCAAGATTGTGCCATTGCACTCCAGCCTGGGCAACAAGAGCAAAACTCCATCTGAAAAAATGTAATTGACCTCAAAAAGTGCTAGCCTTGTTTCTCCAAAAGTTGATTCTGCTCCCAAAGCACACATCAGAATTTGAATCTCCCGTGACCTTCTCAGGCATTTAGTGAAAATGATCATTAGGATTTATGATGATACTTTTATAATAATGCTAGACAGTAATATTATAAACAGAATAATTGCCTATAAAATAATATTGAAAATTTAAAATTTATATGGATTTTAAAAGTCAGTAAACTCATTATCGAATGCTGATTATTTGTAGGATATTGAACCCTAGACACTCTGAGAAATGTTTTTTTAAATGGAAGACATTCATCCTTAAACTCCATTTGTTGGACCTGGGCATGTTCTTTTGGAAGGAAGTATAGGATTCAGATAAGTGAGAGAGAAGAGACTTCCTTTGGCAAAATCTTGGACAAGCTACTCAGTGTTCCTTCATGCAGAAAAACTGTAGGATTCTGGATAAAACATACTTTCCAATGAATTATCTGACATCAGAAAACTTTTCTGACATCTCTAAAGATCCCTCTTCCTTGCCTCAGAATGAAAAATCCAAAAAGTGTGAGGTGAAACTGCTGTTGAAGATGAATAAACAAACAGAAAAAATGGGATGGACAATTGAATTGTATGGGTTGTATTTATTTGCAAAGATACTATTGGAAGGATAGCAGTCACATGCTCTATTAGACTGCTCCTAAACCGAGCCTTATTTGAAAAAAAAACAGGGAGAACCAACAACCACATTTGTAGACCCAGTTTTTTGGTCTTCTTTTTTTCTTTTGGTATCTTCAGTTACGTAGACAACCACTTTCATATTGCCAGATCTGTTTTCAGAGAAATGGCCTATCCTTGCTCAGAAACCAGTGTTCTGTGCAGAGAAAACATGGTTCTCTATTGAGGGAATCCTACATAGCTCTGATATCTGCATGTTTGAGAAATTCCTTTCATTCAGAAATACAGACTGTAACTTCTGAGTCCTCAACCACCACCTCAAACTAGTATATATTTGTTTACTTTTAAGTGTATTTACCTTTTTGCTATGAAAATTCGGAATATATTAGAAGAGCAGAGGGAAAAAGGTAATGAACTTTTGTATAACCATCCCTACTTTCAACAGCTGTCATCTCATGGGCCAGTTTGTTTCATCATTGTTGTTTCCACTTTCTGCTTCCACCTCAAATTATTCTGAAGCAAATCCCAGACATGACATCATTTTATCTGGTAACATTTCAGTTTGTATCTTTAAAAGATTATTTTTTTTTGACTGAAAAATGAATCACAACTAAAACATCCTCAAATATATAAAACCAATATTCAAAATTTTCAGGTTGTCCCCTAAAGTTTTGTATTCTCTACTGTTTGAAGCAGGATTCAAATAAGGTCTATATGTTGTAATTGGTTAATATGTCTCTTAATTTATAGGTTTATGTTTATTTTCCCTGGTTTCTTAAGAAACTGGATTATTTGTGCTGTACAGCTTTCCATAGTCTGAATTTGCTGCTGCATTCCTGTAGAGTCATTTAATGAACTCCTCGGCCCTGTTTCTTACCTGTTAATGGGTAGTAAAGGCTCTAGAAACTTGATCAAATTCATTTAGGGGATGGGGGCAAGACTACTGGCTCTTTCTCTTTTTGTGACATTAGCAGGTGGTGTTGATCATAGCCTACATCCATTTATTCCTTAGACCTTGAAAAATGTCAATATAACTGTCATTTCTGGTTTATTTATTGTGTTGAATGCTTTTGTAAACTAGTGTTATAGTTTCAATTTATATAAGAAAATCAGGATGGATGCTTGATTCTTTTATCAGTTCCTAACATAATGTGTGGTTCTTTAACATCCTCTAAAGTTTACCAATGGTTTTAAAAATTTTATTATGAACATGGATGTACTTCAAAATTGCAGTTATCATAATTATGAATTCCCAGATTGCCACATCTCTGATTACTCAAAGTTTATCTCTGTTGGTTCCTATGTGTTTTTGAAAGAACTTCAAGTTTTTGAGCGCTTCCATGATAATTGGTATGACAAAATATAACAGCCTCATCATTAACATTTCCTTTCCAATCCTGGAATCAGGCAATTATCCAAGAAATTCTAGTGTTTTTTTTTTTTTTTTGGTCTTGGAAATAGTACTTGAAAACCATAATCTTGAAATTAGTGAGTTCATTGCTGCTGACTTAGTCCTTAATCTAAGCCCTTTCAAAGAGCTAGAAAAAGTGTGTGTGTGTGTGTGTGTGTGTGTGTGTGTGTGTGTGTGTCTGTGTGTATAATTTTAAGATTAAATACAACAGGAGCTAACACTAATACTTCCTATTAACATACAGGTCAACAGGTTTTTAATTTAGTCACATCAATCTTGTATCACATCAATGTCCTTTCTCCCCAGCTGACCATCCTACAGTCCTAATTCTTAATGATACTAGCAACTTACCTGCTTTATGCTACAATACACTTACGACAGGCTCAGAGTAATAATACCAAGACTACTACCATCAGTCGTGATGTACACATCCTGTATACTGTCGCTCTTTTCTCTGTAAAGATATATATATTACTGAGGTTTTAAGTCATGTAGAATTGTTTCTTGGTGTAATGCCACCAGCTAGATATAGAAAGATTCACTTGGCTCTTTTTGCTTTCCATTTTTCAGGATTAAAATGTTAGCTAGGAGAGACCAGAGCAGTGCATAGTCTACCTCATTTCCCACTACTGAGGTTTTACCTAATTGCATATGAATTAAGAGATTTTCCATTCTGACTGGTGACAAAAGGCCTATTTCCAGCCCTAGGAAGGTGCCAGGTACTGTTCCCCCTATAATTATTTCAGATGTTTCTTTTCCCAGCCTTGGGTAGTTTCCTCACACTTATATCCAGATCTCTGTGACTCTCTGCAGATTTCAAGGGATTATTGTCTATGCATCTGCTCTCTCCTGAACTCTGTCCTGAAAGCTCTAGCCACTTTATTATCCCATACCTTCAGCTCTGTTTCCTCAACTCAGGCAGTTTGCCTCCTTTGAGTTAGTTGCCCCACCTGTGCCACTGCGAAGAAACCTTTAGGACCGTAAGCGAGCGTCATCACAGGACTCACCTCCTTCAGGGATCAATGTCCTTTGTGGTCTGATATCTTATGTCTTGACAACCATTGTTTCATATATTTTGTCAGGGTTCATTTTTGGTTGTTTAAGGAAGGAGGGCATGTCCAGTTCCTTTCAGTCCATCTTGGCTAGAAATGGAAGTCTCCTCAGTTGTTTCTTCAAAAGTTCAGCTATAGCTTATTAATCCAAACAGCTTCTTAACATGAAGCTCAATATTTAAAACAAATTTTAAAATATTCTGAATGATGTTTGTTTGTGTGTGTGTGTGTGTAGGAAATCTTTCTGAAACACTGCTGCAGTCTTAAAACTGTCAGTGCCCGTTCAGGACCTCTTCTCAGTATTTTTCTTGCCAACAAGGTTTTCCCCAACAGATGAGTCCTTTTTTATTTTTTGCCACTTAGAGGAATTTTTTTTTGGTTCACTCATTCATTTCTTTAACAGACCTTTTTGATTACCTGCTATGTGTCATATAAAGTGTTGAGAATACAGTGGTGAGTAAAACACCACTCATTCCCTCAAAAATGTTGCAGTTTAATTTTCACACAGAAACTTGAACATGAATGTTCACAGCAACTTTATTTGTAATAGTCAAAACCTGGCAATGCCCAGATGTCCATCAATGGGTGAATGGTTGGACAGACTGTGATATGAGCATGCTGCAGACTACTGCAATAAAGACTAATGAACTGTTATTATGGGCAACAACTTGGATGAACCTCGAGAAATTGTGCTGAGTGAAAAAAACCTGTCTTAAAAAGATACATTACTGAATGATTCCATTTATACAACCTTCATGAAATAAGACCATTCTAGAGACAGATTACTGGTAGCCAGGGGTTAGGGAGGGGAAGAGGACAGGGTGGCTTGGACATAAAGTGGTAGCACTAGGGAGTCTTATGGTGATGGTATAGTTAAGTGTCTTGATTGTGCTAGGGGTTACTCGAAGCTACACGTGTGATATAATGGCATAGAGTTATCCACACATACACAGACACAGATATGTGTATGTATAGCTGGCAAATATCTATGGATTCTATGAAAAGCTCCATGGATTGTACCATTGACAGTTTCCTGGTTTTAATATTGTAGTTTAGCAAGATGTTAACATTGAGAGTGGGACTAGAGGAAGGGTGCACAGGACCTCCCTGTACACTTTTTTGCAGGTTTTTGTGAATTTTTAATTACCTTGAAATAAAAAGTTAAAAAATACCTTGCAATTTTGTGGAAGGTACAAAGAACTAGATAGCCAATTCTAATAGCCAATTGTATATTGCTTTTCACTGAAAATTTTTATCAATTTTGATTTTCTGAAATAAGAACTGGTTGTGCACCAAATCCTTTAAAACTTCTTCTATTAAAATATTCCAGTGTATGTCAGTAGTATAGTGGACAGAGTATTTCTTTCTCATCTTCTGGTAATTTGTGGTGACTGTGTATTCCTAATTTTTATTATGGCCATAGTCTTTTTTTTTGTATTCTTTCTTATCTCTGTCTCTATAGCTGAGAAAAACATTAGTTATTTCTTGTGCTTATTTCAGCTAAGGGGAAGTAATACATACTTATGGAGAAATACCTTGTTCCCATTCCCAAGTCATAGGACAATGTCTCTACTACTCTAGTCTTTTAAAGCTTCCCAGTCAGGTCATGCTTCTATTTGAGGGATGTGTATTAGCAGTAATGCACTAGCAAAATAGTTGTGTTGATTCTCCTCTATCCCCACCAAAGTGATGTGCCCTCCTTTTATAGCCTCAGTAAAATACCTTAACCATACAAGGCAAACATTTCATAAGAATGAGCATGTATTACTACAAAGCAACAGGAGGCTCGTGTTCTCACAACATGTTCAAATGTAAGCACAAAGACCCACTCCAGATTTAAATATCAGTGAGCTTTGGAATACACACAGCTTTGGCTCATTTCTGGCCCTATTCTGCCATCAGCATGTATCAGCCAAAGCTTTACTCTGACCCGTTTAGAAATAGCCTTTGTATGTGAAGATGAACGCATAGCTGCAGTTGGGTTTTTACATAGTCACTTATTACTATAGCTTATTTTAATTTAGTGACAGATTGTCACATATTTTGAGTTTTCTCAAGTTATAAAAGTTTTTTTTTCTTTCTTGGAACTAAATAGAATATATATTATTTCTGATATGTTGAGGGAAATTTATATTTTGATTTTGTGTTGGTATTACTAGAAAAGTCACTCAATATGAATTTGTGGTCTTGGTACATTGTGACAACCCAGTTGTCCTTTAATTTTTATTAGGCTGCTTCTAAATATCACCAATATGTGAATAGGTGAGTTTACAATATATGGGCTGGAAATGCTTTATTTATTTTTTCTTTTTTACCCCCAAACTCACCCCCTCTTGTCAGTGTCAGGAAAACCTTCTTGGAGTTACTCTTGGACTAAGTGTCTGAGTCTGTACCTATGTGTGTTGCTGGAATCTTTACCGGGCAGAAAACATTCTTGGAGTTTAATTTGATCCATCTCCTAGAAATAAAAATCACAAAAGGTGTGTATAAGTACCTTTGGTTTGTGTCCTTTACTTTGAAGAGTATAGCAGCCAATTTGAAATTACATAGGTCTACTTTGTGAAATTTACTACTTGGTTTTATCTTTGGCCTCATGTTTCTGTTTAAAACATTGATGAATCATTGGATCTTAGACCATTTTTTTGAATTTTGCTAATATAGATATAATATACTTTACATTTAACAGATCATTTATGGTTGATTCAATCCCAACACTTTCCTCATTCTTTATTGTAGTCAGTTGTATACTACTGTTCATTTAAAATGTTCATTACTTTTGATTTGCTGAAATGAAACCCATTTTTGTGCTAAATCTTTTAAAATCATTCTAAGAAAATAGTCAAGTGTATGTATACTTGACTTAGAATATTTCTGATAATTTGTGGTGACTCTGTGGCCCTGATTTTAATATGACCATGATCTTTACTTATCTTCTCCTTCTCATATCTCTCTATATATCTAAGAAAATTGTTAGTTATTTCCTGTTAATTATTTCTTTAAAATGCATTTATAAGGATTCTCAAAGTTATATAACATTACATAAATTCTATACTTTTTCTACAACCTTAATATTGTACCGGTGTTAAAATGGATGTACAAAACCATACTATTAAAAATATTGCAAGCATTATCAGCAACTAACACAGGAAGAGAAAACCAAACACCACCATGTTTTCACTCATAAGTGGGAGTTGAACAGTGAGAACACATGGACACAGGGAGGGGAACATCACACACCAGGCCTGTTGGAGGTTGGGGAGCTAGGGGAGGGACAGCATTAGGAGAAATACCTTATGTTGATGGGTGCAGCAAACCACCATGCACTTGCATACCTATGTAACAAACCTGCACATTCTGCACATGTATCCCAGAACTTAAAGTATAATGAAAAATTAATTAAAAATATATATTACAAGCATTTTTGGAGAGGAATAGGAATTAATAGGAAGCAGTATAGTTTCCACAGATTTGGAAAGCTACTGAAGAGGTATTTTTTAAAAGTTGCCTATATATTCTTGAAGTGTTAATTTTGGAACAAGAGTTGCATAGGCACTGCTATAATTCCTCCAGTTCATAGAGAAGGCACTTGCCACATCTTCCTTCCCTCCTCTGCTTCTGCCTGAGCAAAAGTGAGCTGAATCTACTCCCACCTACAGCAAGCCTATCAGTCCCTGGACCAAACGCAACAACAATAGGAAGCATATTTGGAGGCTTTGACTCTTTTCCTCATTGGGCACATGTAGTGGCCCTGCTACTGCTTCTGGGCTCCCATATTACTACTCATTCTGAGTTGGAATCTGTGCAGTTCACTAGATTTGGGAGGCCATGGTTCTGAATTACATCCCGGGGCCACTGTAGCTCTACAGACATGGGAATAGTCCCCTTCTGTCTACGTGGGACTAGGCCTCTGCTAAGTTTCCATGGATCTTTGGATGCTGTCTCTATGCACTCATTTCACTCTGTGAGTTTCATGAAATAGGATCAGAGCTGATGATTTCTAGGTTTTACTGATAGTCACTGGTACTTCTGCCTGATATGATACTCTATTACTTACAGCTGCTTGCATGACTTCAGAGTTATTTCTGCCCTTTGAATATCATGCCTTTCTATCTAATAGATCTGTGGTTGTCAGTTGTGGATAGTTTCTGCTGTTTATTTGTGATCCCAAATGTGTGTCCTGGCTGGCGTTGCTAAACATTCCTTGCGCTTCACACCTGTATCAGAGAGAAGGGCCTCAGACAGAATGAGTCTTTCCAAGCTCTGAAGAGTGGCATCTCACTGATTGCATCATAGTACGAGGCTCATTCACTCTCTCCTTTGCTCCATAGCTCTTCTTAGTTCCAAAAAGCTGTCTTGGCAAATTATAATAATAAAAGCATTAAAATAAAAACTAAAACAAAGGTGTGCAATAAAAAGGGGGTAGGATAAAACTAAACCAGAAAACCCGGACCCTCCCTCAAAGATCCTGCAGTTGAATAACTTGAGTTTTAGGCTCACCGTTTCTGCCAATTGCAGAAAAAGAGAGGCATAGAAATGGTGCCACCTATTATCAGATCAGAGTGGGTCAGGAGATTCCAGTTCATCAGGAGAAATGTTTGTGTTTCTCCTAGCTTTGGGAAAGCATATGTTGAGTAGCTCATTGTTTTTATACCAGATAATCATATTAA